GTATGACAAGGGCAGGTAGTCCTTGGGGCACACAGGGCACCAGGCATACACTGGTTCTCCCACACAGTGGCTCTCCAAGGCCAGCCTCAGTCTCCCCATGTGAGGATGAAGAACCACTCAATGGCCCTCTGTACTGACCCTCTGTGACAGATGAGAAGAACAATAGCATGGTGCAGGTACAAGTGCCAGCTCCAGAACTGACCTGCTTCCTGCCCGACTCTGACCAACCAAATGGTCCAAAACCTTCCATGCCTCGATTTTCTGATCTGTGACCTGGGTGAGGCTGCACAATGGACTAACCAGCTATGCATGCGAGTTCATTTCTATCCATACCTCCCTTGTAGCCAGCTGTCCCGGGATCACTGATTGGGTGGAGCCAACCCAGGCCTGAGGGCCAGCGGGGAGGAGAAGGGAAATGTGGGGTCTGGTAGGCTGCAGCCACTTCTTGGGAAGAACCTCAGCCCCCTCAGAGTCCTGCATTGGCCTTTGTCCCTGTGCACATTCTCAGAGCTGCTGGTGACCTCATCCCCCACACAGGAGATGGCTGTAAGCACATACATCAGACACGGTGCAGCACGCAGCAGGTGCTAAATAACGCGTTTCTCTCTTAGTTGGCCCATCCTGAAGTTTCCAGGCCTGTTAACAGAGTTGAAGGTTCAGCCCCTCTGAGACCATGCGCGCAGGCTAGGACTTGGTGGTGGCCCCATCTGAGTCCCCTGCAGACTTGCAGGAGCCAAGGCAGGAGGCAGAAGGGCCTAGCTGCCCCCAGTGGCCAGGATCACCACGGTGGTAAGAATGAGAGCCCCATGCCACACTGCCACTGATTGATTGGTGCTGCTCACTTTAGAAAATGGGCTTCCCCTATACAAAGCTGCTTCTGTTAATGTGTAATGTTTTTGTATTTTATGTGAATCTAAGCACAGAAGTCCTAGCATCTCCTCAAGGCTGTGTCTGTGATGTAGCAAATCTGGCTCAGGACAGCTGCTTCCCAGGACGTCACCAAGGCCTGGGATGAGGTGCTGTTACACAGGGCTGGGAAGTGCAGCCTGTGTAGCCACTGGGAGTCTCCTACTATTCAGAGTTGAGTGGCCTGTGACAGCAACCCATGCTAACCTGGGGAAGGGAGTCCCCTGGGCCAAGCCCCAGACAGACACCATTATCCCTGTGGCTCAGCAGATCAGAAATTGATTCCAGTACAGCCTCCTCTGACGACAGCAGAGAACTTGGGATAATACCTCTGTACAGGGCTCATTGTTACTGTTGTTGACTGAAGTATTTTGAGACAGGATCTTGCTAAGTTGCCCAGGCTGGCCTCAAACTCATGATCCTCCTGCCTCAGTTTCCTGAGTGCCACAACCTGATGCATGCCTGGTTCCTGCAGGGACAAGTGATACTAAGATGCCCAGAAGACACAGGTGCAGCTGGAGGGCCACACCCCACTCCAGCTGGCTGGGGGTAGGAGTGGCACTGCCAGCCTCTGAAATACCTTTCATGTAGCCACAGATACTGTCAACCCCCTACATCTTGGCTCTTCTCCTCCCTCCTACCACCTGTGGCCTCCGTGCTCTGGACAGGAGAGAGAGATCACATGCATGGAGGTGGTAGCCTTGGCCTCTCGTCCCGTGCTCAGGTCTCTCCAGAGCACTTGGCTGTCCCAGGGCCCTAATGTCCCAGCCACTCCCTGCATGTTTCCTGAGGCCTGTTCTTCTGGGACAAGGGAAAGAAACATTTCCCCTCCTGGCACTGAGGAGCAGAGAAAAGGGGTCTTTGCCTTTTAGAGAAATAAATTTCTCTGATGGTGGGGGACAAGGGAGAGAGCTGTGAGTGACCTCCTGTTCCTTACTCCAGCTCCCTGTGCAGGGGTGAGGATTCTGATGGTGACCTCTGTGCTGGCCCAACACGGAACAGTCAGCCCCGTCCCTGGGGAGATGAAACCTTCTGTCAGATGCTCGGTCCTGCTGGGATCTTCCCCAGAGAAATCTTTTCCCTTGTGGTGTGGGGTGGAGCCAGGACTCTGCACGGCTAGCTGGTGCTTGCCTCTGAGACCTCACACCATGTGTGCCTGGAGGTGTGTGAATGACACGCATGGCAGTGGAGTGAGCAGGCCAAGGAACAGGGCCATTACTGGAGCACAGATGAGCCCCATGCGGCCATGGTGGACATGCGGCACCAGAAGCCCACAGCCCAGAGCTCCAAGGCCACCCTGAGGGCAGGTCTCTCCTCTCCTCAGTTTCTCAGTTTGAGGCTTTCTGTATAAACATCAGTTCCACCACCAGTGCCTCCACCTTCATGGAGCCCCAGGGAGAGTTCTGGGGAGCCACTGTGTGGTGGGCAGGTGTCCCTGCTGTGAGACCTGCAGACCAGGCATGAGTGTGAGGGGCTCCACCACCGCCACAGTCTGTGGGGCACAGGGTCTGGCACCATGTGCCAGCTCAGGAAGGGAAGATGCTGGCTCCTTGGTGGACACCCAGACCTAGGGACTACCCAACCTGGCACCAACATGTTCCTCCCTCCAGGCCACACAATGACAGATGCTCAGAACAGCCCCAGCTCTGCCTGGCTATGGACACATAGGAACCTGGGGCTCCAAGTCCTTGGCACTGTCATGGTGGGCATGGTGGCAAGTGTGGTACCCACCCTGGCCCACAAAGAACTCTCACTGTTGATGCCCAAGCAGGCACCATAGCTGTGACATTAGGTCACAGACAGGCTGCCTGCATCACCAGCCCTCTCCCTACTCCCAGGGTGGCCCTGACAACTGCCAGGGCCTGGGTCCAGGTCTCCAGGGCTCCCTGTACTGAGCACGCTGGGCTCTGTGGACTCAGAGATAGCACATGATGTGAGCACTTGGCCTCTGGGATCTGAATCCCTGGCCCTGTTCCCTGCAGACTCTGGGGGTGCTATCTCCCCGGGTTGTGTGGAAAGGATGAGGCTACTTGAGTCTCACAGACAGCAGGTGCTGTCATCCTGAAGAGTCAGGGTCCCTTGTGATCTGAGGCCCTCATGTGACAGTGCTGAGTGGGGCAGAGATGAGCTGTGTCCCCATTGCTTCAGGACCAAACTCTTATACATCCATCAATGCACCTTGCCCAAGGACTCCATCACCCAGATGGAGAGGCAAGCTAAGAGCCCAAGGCAGTGGTCACTCTAGTCAGGCAGCTTTACTCAAGGTGTCTCATACCTCAGAGCTGGGCAGCTCCTGGTAGCTCCAGGTGGCTCCTCCCACCCTGCCCACCGTACTCCCACCTTCCATGCCTACCTTGTGAGCGACACTGGAGTCCCTTTGGGTGCCATCCTCTTCCTCAGAGCTGCCCTGTTCCTCCTCAGATCCAATGTCCTCTCTGGGTGCCGTTGCCAAGACAGGACAAACCTTGTAGGGCTCTGTATAGGCGCTGAGCGGAGGGAAAAAGGGTCAGAGCTCCCTGCTGGCAGAGTTGGTCGGCCTCAACTCTGCATCCCCCACCTCAGGGCGGCCTGCAGTTGAGGGTGGGGTTGGGCCGAGGTGTGTGTGCCATGCCCTGAGCCATGATCCACTCACACTGGGCAGGAGCCCAGCAGGGAGAACCCAGAGAAGCATCAGCAAGCACCACGTTGCAGTCTCGGGGACACCCTACAGTAAGATAGGGGCTCTTCTCCTGCTTCAGGACCTCCTATGGCTCCCTCCTGCCCAGGCATCAAGGCTTTGACATGTCCCACAAAACCACTTTTGTTCTCCAGGTCCGGGAGCCTGGTCACACTTATCACTCACACCTGCTCCTGGGACCGCCCAGTGGATGACCCCAGTGGCTGACGGTGGGTAACAGGCAGTGAGGAGGAAGCACACACCTGCTGTGGCTGAGTCCATGGAGCTGACAAGGGCCAGGCCTGGCAGCTGGGCACCCTGGGTCCTCCTGGAGCTGCTTCTCAGCCACGCTGGAGACAGAACTTGGCTCTGCCTCCAGAACGCCTGAAGCCCCAGCACCAGTGCTGAGTCAGAGTTGATGGGCCTTCCTGCCCCCAGTGGAGGGGAGGGGGCTGCCATGGAGGCCTGTCTTCCTCCCCTTAGCTCACACCTCTGCTTCCTTTGCAGACTTTGCTTGCCTTGTCTTTCAAACACATGTACTTTACACAACTTACACATCTCCCACCTAGGGGGCAGAGAAGCCCTTGGCCAGGATGCTGAGTGTGCCATCCCTCCTTCCCATAACCCCAGGAAGGTGTGGGCCCCAGTGGGGTCAGGAGCATGCACCCTGAAGAGTCAGTGTTCCCTGTGACAAGAGGCCCTCATCTCACAGTGTGGAGTGAGGCAGGGACCAGCTGTGACCCCAGTGCTTCAGAAATAAACTATTTATTTAATGCATTTAGTATAGGGTCTATAGCATCTCACTACACAGATTGGACTCATAGTGAGCCTCTTGTTTTCAGCCTCCAAAGCGCTGAGATTACAGGCATGCGCCACCATACCCAGTCTCAATCACTGTCTCAGCACAACCCAGGGGTGGGGCCAACGGCACACTAGGGATCAATCCCTGGTTCCTGTATCTGCCTAAGCAGGCACTTTAATCTGCTGAGCTATCTGGCTGGCCCTAGAAACAAACTCCTGTACATCCCTCAGTGCCCCTTGCCTTAGGAACTCCATCACCTCAAACTTCTCCCTTTGACATCCATGAGTCCCAGGCCTCCGCGGCCCAGGCCACCTCCTACCTGGGTGCCCGAAGCAGCTGTTTTTCAGTCCCTGGTACCCAATCATTTCCAGTCCAGAGCTACTTTCTCAAAGCACACTCCAATTGCATGGTTCCTCAGGCTCCACTGCTCAGCCCATCCCATTCCACAGAGCCCGGGGACCAAGGGCAGGGCTGACACACAGCCCCTGAACGTGCATTGTCCCATCTCGGAGACTGAAGAGTAAGGATTGTGAATTCAGTCAGCACTATGGGGCTGGGGCTCACGAGTCACTGTCTCACTGAGTCTGTAGGGTCAGAAGGGAGAGAGCAAAAAAAAAAAAAAAAAAAGAAGGGAGAGAGCAGAGACAAAGGCCCATGTCTCTAAGCTGGGCACCTGGTTACCCTCTCACCTGGCTGCTTCTGAGCTGCCCAGCACCCAGACCTGCACAGTGCAAATGGAAACTACCCTGGGGGCATTGAACAGTGGGACCAGGATGGCTCCCAGGTCCAAGCTGAACAAACAGCCAGGCATGGTGGCGCACATCTGTAATCCCATCACTTGAGAAGCTAAGGCAGGAGGATGGTTGTGGGTTTGAGGCCAGCCTGGGCTACAAAATGAGCTCAGGGACAGCCTGAACTGCATAATAAGATCCTGTCTCAAAACAACAGCAGCACCAGCAGCAGCAGCAGCAGCAACAACAACAACAACAAATCTGACCAAACACTGGCTCTGGCCTCCACTGACCGATGCCTGGCCACCTGGCCCAGCCTCTGCCATTGCTGCTAGCCCCAGGACTACTCAAGTTTAACAGGTGCTGCTGACCAGGCCTTTTCTAAGTACAGCATGTGTGTCCTCCTGATGCATTTCAACGTAGCAGGCCCCTGTCAACTGTAAGGACTGATCAGCTAAGTTGCCCTTGCTCACTGCTGCAGATGCAGGCCTTACAGATGACGCAGACCCAGTCACTGCTACACAGCCCTACCCCCTGTCCAGCCCAGGTGCAGCCTCAGGGTGGCCAGGGCCAGGGGGGCAGGGCTGGGTGGACTGACTTCTGCTTGCAGAACAAGCATGAAAACAACCCAGCACCAGGCTTGGGGTGCTGATGACATCTGTGTCACTGACTTCATCGTTCCATTTTGGGACTGAGCACAGCATGAGGCAATCAGTCACCATGATAACCTTTCACAGTATGACACGGCATGGCCAAGCCAACGCCTTGAAGATTGCTGAAGAAGCTGCAGGGGCAGAACCAATACCCTGAAGGTGTCTTCTTGACAATCACTTAAAAATGTTCTCGTTGACTCCACAGGCCCTCCGTCCCAGCTGAGAATCACTTCTTCTTGGGGAGCTGACTAGAGACACCCACATGGCATCCAGCTATCAATGCCAGCTTGGGAGGGGCTCCCTCAGTATGTCTATGGAAGCCCACAGGGATCTGTAGTGTTCCAGATGCTGTAGATACCAGGGTAGAGTGCAGAGAAAGACACTGTCTTCACTCTAATGGCTCTCTAGTCCAGATGGCTATTAGGAGCACCACTTAGGTACCAGAACTCTTGGGGCATAACTTTATTGTCACATATGAGAAGATTCTGTTCCACCCACTCACTCATCCACTCACTCACCTGTCTATATACACATTCATCCACTCCTCTCAATAATCTATTTATTCATTTATCTATCTGCTTATCCATCCTTCTACTCACTTACCCACTCATCTATCTACTTATCTATTTGTCCACCATTTTTCCATCCATCCATCCATCCATCCATCCATCCATCCATCCATCCATCCATCATGTGTGCATGTACCTATCCATCAACTCATATATCCATTCCTTTATTCAACTACCCATCTGTTCAGTCATCCACCCATGTTCATTCTCTTGTCCATACACTCATTCATCGTCCAACCCATCCATCCATCCATCCACCCACCCACTCACACATCCATCCACCCATCCATCCAATCTACTCACCATCTATACATCCACACATCCACAATCCATCCATCTACTCACACTTCCACTGCCCAGTCCCACCCATGCACCCATCCACCATCTAGCCCTGCTTCCACTGACAAACTCAGCTGTCCATCTACCCATCCATAATTGGTCAGGCAGCTGCTCCATGGTGTTAACCCATGGAGGAATCAGGGACAGTGACCTTTCCCTCTCTGCTTTAGGTAGGTTTATAGGATTTGTCCACTGGCATGATAAATAGAGGTCAGAGGGCACCTGGTCTACACCCTGGCAGAGCCTGTGGGGCTCAGAGCATCTCCACAGCACCCTGTGATTGCTGGTTCCCTTGGTGCCTTGCATGGGGACTCACCAGGAAGTGAGCATGTGGTCGTGTGAGTTTGGACACGAGGGGCTCACCATGGAGTCACATGCTGGAGAAATGAGGCAGTTGGCACCACCAGTCAGTGACCATGAGGCCTAGGACTTGGGATCAGTAGAAGACAGCTATTGTGTGACCCTGGACAGCTCACTCAATCTGTTTCTCAAGTGTAAAGTAAGGTTCCTTGTGGGACTGAACAGAAGCTGCTACCACCTTGCACAGAGCAGGTTCTCTGACCAGGGCAGAAGAGCCTGTATTGTCCTCACTGAGCTGTCCACCACTGCTTTACAGGGAGCACAAGTCCAAACTTCATAAAAGAACCTGTCACTATAAGTGACACTGTGCACCACCCTTGCCCAAAGCCTATGGCTGTGAGGACATGTGCTTGCCTTCACAGGGGGACCAGTGCCATCCAAATCCATCCTGGGCCACAGCCCTTGGGAGCTGCAGCCCTGACAGAGCTCAGCTTAGGGCTGGAACTCATTAGGCAGACAGGACATTGCTGGGAATGCATTATAAAGGGCTAGACCTAGTGGGGCGGGGTAGCAGGGACAAGATGGGGCCCAGGCCAGGCAACCTGGGGGGAAGGAGACAAGGGACAGAGAAGCCTCATGAGCAGAGGTGTTCTGCTGGCCAGTGGGAGCAGAGACAAGATGGGGCCCAGGCCAGGCCACCTGAGAAGGGGACGCGGGACAGAGAAGCCTCATGAACAGAGGTACTTGGGTGCTTAGAGGGCGGCAGGATACACATCAGGGACCCCAAATTCTCACACATGCGTTCCTCACACCCCCAGGTCCCCGGAACCAGCAACCTCTCTCTCTCTGACACCTCCTCTGCTTTCAGATCTGACCCCTATGAGCTCTATTCCTCAAGTGGATGGCAGGGTCTCTGGGGAGGCAGGGGCTGTCTGTGCTGCAAGCCAGGCCTTTGATGGAGGGCAGGGCCCAAAGGATGCTCACATGGTGACAGGAGCCCAGGGTACCAGGGTTCCCTGCCACCCCATAACTGGGGCCATATAACCATCTCAGGGCAGTATCTCCCCATCTGTGAGATGCACGTGGGGGTGGACAGTAGGGCAGGCCCAGGCATAGGACAACTGAATGTCTCCTTGGAGAGATGTATGGTGTCCCCATGTCAGCAGGAGTGGCCTTGTCATAGCTCTGGAGAGAGGGGCTTTAGAAAACTCAACTTCCATATCTTGCCAAGCAGCAAGAGCGGCTCAGCCTTGCTCTCTGACTGGTGATGTCCCCTCCCGCCCAGCACCAGGCCTGCTGGTTTTCCTCTGCACCTGTGTTAACAAGCTGTGATTCACAGGCTACAGACTGGAGAAGCTCAGCATGCAGGGAGCTCTGCATCACCATCTCCTAACTTTACAACCTCTCACCTCCCC